CTGCTGAACGCTCACTTGCCCTGGCAGCACTTCTACCTCTGTGGCTTCTCCTCTGAAGCACTTCCACCATCAGATTCCTTCTACAACAAAGTTGTCTCCACACCTTCACAGAGAACTGTAACCACGTTCACTACTAATCTGGTCCAGGATTCAGGTTGATATGTCCAGGAGAAAGACACATCTGTGCAGGCTTCACTCTTGTGAGCAGAGTAGAAAGATCACTTTGTCAGCACAGTGCACATTCTTCATATTGTTCAGCTCTAAAATTCATCCATGAAACTGCTGTGAATGCTCTTCCTACCCCGTTTCCACCTCTTGATTCTCCGAGTATTTCCCTTGGTGAGCGCTGCATCCCTTGCAGGGAAAAATCAAACAATTCCAAGCAAGTGTTCTTCACGCCCTGCTAGCCTTTGGCTCCTTGCAACAAATTCACAAAACAGACCACACTATAAACCTCGAACTACAGACTCTCTTCTAGCAATCATCTTCATTTCACTTCCTATGGATCAGGAATGGGTTCTTTTCTTATCAGGTGAGTCTACCTCATCTCTTAGAGTAAAAAGAGGAACAAGACCATACACGTGTTCTTTGAAATAGTTACTTGTCCTGGTTTCGGCTGGGATAGAGTTAAACATAATAAACATTTTCTCTGTGTAATTACAAGTTTAAAGATTTTGCATTAAGAAGTACGTAGGAAAGTTCCATCAGAAATGTTCAGCAGAAAAATGTATGTTATACCGTATCTTCTTGGTTGCTCCAAACCAGCCTCAATCTATGATCTGTCATCCATAAAAAAGGGTGAAAAGATGTCAAGAATGCTCATTTCATCATTGTGATTATTATTATTATGCACATTCTCATCAACGTAAGAGATGGCAGACCCATTGACTTCCCCACAGAAAGCTGAGAAAGCATCAGAATTAAAATATATTAGCTGTGGATGTTATGAGCACAAATATTTTACTTCCAAAATGATGTGATGCGATTGTAAACAAAATCGGTTCTTTCGCAGCAGGTGAGCTTTTCAACGGAGAACAAAGGATTTACAGGGCAATATATATTGAAAATTACATTACCCTCATAAATGCTGGATGATCTTTGCAGGTAATGTTCTTGCTGTAAATCTTTACATTTCCTGAGATTGTATCAGATGTTCCATTGGAGGAAAAATAAAATCTTGCTTGTGTATCCGCTTTTCTGTTCACATCAACACTCAGATTATAAAGCAGTACTGCAAAATAAAACCCAGGGAAAATAAAAGTTATAAAAAATGTAAGTGTTATCATAATTTACGATAGAAGTTGAATCTTCTGACTCACTTCCTTCAGTATGTTCCGTAGTACCCATTTTGAGACGCTCCGCTTAAAAATTCTCTGACATAAATCCATACCTAAGGAAAGCTTCTAGCCCTCTGAAAATTGATTGCATCAAGACTGATCCCTGATACATGGTTTTACATCAGGGATAGTTTTGTCAAGTTATATTTACAGTTTTCTATCAGAATCTATTTAAAGAAAACCTGCTTCAGTTACTCACAGGGCTGACATTTAAATTTCAACAAACAGATAAGTCAACAGACACTGACAAATATTGTTTAACTTCACAGTTTTTTCTATTTAAGTTAGCATGAATTGCTAGGATAACAAATCGCAAATAAGTTTCAGAGCATGACTGATCTATTACTTCTTAATCTCTGCCAAAAGTTGAGTTAGGATATCTAGAAATTCCTCTAGTCTTTTCTATTTAAGTTCCAAATCCAGCAAGGGTAATCCAGTCTGACTGCTCATCTTTCACAACAAATATGAATTCCAAAAGATCTGAACTTGAAACTTTATAGTTCATCGTTGGATGTGTTCTCTGTAATGGGTTCCTAAAGGATATTGTATATTCTCATACAGAAGATTTAAGCAATTTAATTTTAAGTACCATGTATTTGCAGGGCTGTTTGCAGTTTACAAATAGCACGTGACAAGTAGGTTAAAAGCACCCAGGCAATACAGTCAAATATAGACAGTAAATTATTTTAAATAAGTTCACCACGAATATTCCCTCGAATAGATACTGCTGCAAGCAATATCAGTTTTTGCCAAAAGCAAAATACGCGTTGTATAAAATATAATACAAGATATATTTTTCAGTAATTTTGATGGGACTCCCTCTCTTTCACATGATGTTCCATAATGGTAGGATCAGGTGCTTGAGCTGCTTTATGAAGGGAATGTCTTTTCTCTATCGCTAAGTGGAAGACTGCATCCCACAGCAGTCCCGTATGGTTTGGTCCATGTCTGGGAGGACTGCTTTTAGAGGACATCTGGATATCATGCTGAATAATCCATTTGATTCTACATTAAGAAGAGACATTCACCCACCATTAATTCCCTACCTAACTGCAAAGCAACAGCCCAGAATGTGGAAAGTTCAGACAAACTTGACAGACACTCCTGTTGGGTCCTGTGCAAAACAGCATATGGTCCCTGGGCAACTATGTAAAAGAAAGTGTTCACAGACTAAGTGCACCCTATTTCTTTGTGAACCCTAATGCCATACTATCTCATTCACAAACCTATCAAAATGACATTAGTTATTATGATGCTATGAAAGTGACCATCTGAAATGGCATCATTACAACGCAGTTCAAAAGTATGAGTGTGAATCTAATCACACCGCTGTTAGGTAAGTTAATTCAGGTACCAGAATTAGCCTATCTATGATGGTACTGTAAAACCCATGTGAAAATATCACTAAATGGTTGTGCCCAGCCCCAGCTGAACTCTTTAGCATCACAACCCAGCTAGCTAGCTAAAAATAGTCTTTGTTTGTCTAAACCAGTTGCCATCAAAATTTTAGATTACATCGTTGATGCAACAGACAATTTGGAGTTCTACCTTCATCTTCACAGTACCTCACCTTTTTAACATCACTATCTCTTCTAGGCCATGTAACTCTGGTAGTCCTAGTAGGGATGTACTGTTATTCTAAATTGAGAAGAAGTGTAATGGCTCGATGTTATAGGGTAATTATGAGCTAAAAAACATATCCATGTTTTTAATTTTTCATTTTATATCTAACTCAGATTAATGGTCCTCTAAATACCAATAGCATTATTACCAATAGTAAATAGGTGCATTTAAAACGAATACATACACTGGAATTTTTTCCGAGTGGCTTACCAATATAACCAGGTACCTCTCGTCCTGTATAGGTAAAGCATATCTTCAAATTCATACAGATGGCAGGCTGGTCATTTTCCATGCAGTTTAAGTTAGTTCGATTTATTGAATTAGAATGTTTTAAAGAAGCTTCAACGATTATCACTGGTTTTGTTCTAAGAATAGAAAAGAGTTAATGTTCACAAAACATTTCAGAAATACCTTACAGAATCTCTGGAGAATCTAACAAATCTTTGACATAATCTAATTTTGTATTTTATAATTATCATTTTTTAAGCTATCTGCATTTTTCAGAATCCAAATACTTGTATGCACATTATTTGTTGCCTCAAGAAGTTTCAGAATGATATTTTCTTTTTCTTCAAGGTGTTTACTTAAATGTTTCTGTTGTAGAGCATTCTAGAGCCTAATGACTGAAGTTCAAGACACCAAGAAGAATATCATGAGGTTAAAACATACTATTGAGTTTTATTAAATTGCATTAAAAAATACAGTTAAATTGTGTGGTCTTTAAAAGCACTGAAATGTAGCAATCTCACCTCAGCACCACAGCAGAATCGGAGAGAAATGCACCAACTGCTACATCTGTACAAAAAAGTATATCAATAAGCATAATTTGTCAACAGGAATTACTTCTCAGGTACAAGCATTTTGTGGTATATTCACCTTTTGGTCAGCATTAAAACACCATTTGCACTTTATTTATTAGAAGGCATACACTAATATTCAAAGGTGGTGTTCTTGGTCTAGACGATGATTCCTCAAATACTTGTCCACTGTCCATTAACGCTGCGTGCAAATTTGCTGGACTTGCAGATATTGGTAATGTGATGACTTGATTTCTATTCCACGTTTAAGTGGCTGATACTGAAGGACAATTCAGCTAAATAGAGGTACTTGCCTTCTTTTTAATCCAAATATTCAATATTGCTATACACACACACACATATGCATAAACAATGCAGTTATATATATAACTATATATATTATATATATGA